TGGCTAAAGTGCTATTTAACAAATATGATGGAAATTAATGGGTTTCTAAATTTAACTTGAAGGTGTATTGCTACAAACTTGTCTCATAGGTAATGGCAAGCTCTAATGTATACTTTTCCATGGCTTGTTTTTACACATATTAATTTCTTTACATTCTTTCTTTATTATTTCATGTTTTATTTAGTTTTATTGTCACTCCCTCTTTATATGATACATCACATCTGCAAATATTGTGTATAGATATCAAAAGTAAATAATATTCAGCAAATATTTAGTCTCCTCCCCTCACCTCCTCCTGTCCAATCTCTCTCCTCTCCATTATCTTCTCTCCTCTTGGTCCTTTTTATCCTCTTCTCTCCCTTTTTCTCTCACTCCTCTTCTTTCTCTTCCCCTCTCTCTTCATTCCTGTCTCTCCTCTCATCATGTCTACCCATCTGTTTTCTTTTCTTTCTTTTTTTATTAACAATCAAAATTAAACCTTTTATGGTGACTATTATAAAATACAACACAATTAACATCAATTTTCATAATGTCCAAAGAAAATACTTAAATTTCTGCTAAAGCCCTATTCCCTTGCAAGGTATCACTGCCTGAAATCCAAGAATATTGGAAGGAAAAAAAAACATTAATGGGCCAGAGACAACCATCCCTAAAACCCACAAAGATGATGCTCTGAAGTTTGTGAGCAATTTGTAAAATATACATCAAATGGCAATCACTGTATGTGTGTCATTTCATAGTCAGCAATACCTAGGAATAGAAATGTATTTTGGTCATCTTTATTTAATGATATCAAATATATTTTTTGATAAACCACTATTAGCTACTAACATATCTTTTATTATATACTTCACTGTAAATAACCAACATAATTCTAGCATAAGCTGACTCATATCCACAGGTAGTGTTAAAGTAGAATGTAATATCTGCACTATGGGGAAACAAAATCACAAAACAGTAATTAACAAAACAAGCAAATGATAGTTGTTAGTTTTCTTTCTTTGTGTACTTATTAACTAACATTCACATTAGAAATTGTTTAGGTATATACCAACGAAAGGTGACCTAACAATTTCAAAATCTCCAACCCCCCTTCAATTCAAGCAGTCTACCTAAAATGAGGATGTTTTACAGAGAACACATCTACCTCCAAAGTTACAAAAAAATGGCATTTTCCCAACGCTAATAACATTCCAATAATGTTTCCTGTTAATACTCCAATGAACCCCAGTATCTGGTGAGACATTTATGAACCCTTCATTCCCATGGAGGATCTAAAACTGAAGTTTTTGTAAAGTATACTACACTGATTTATTCATTACTACGTATTGGGTGAATATCGTATTTCTTTATTTTCAATCATTAAATGTAAGCTTATCAATATATGGTCCTAACATATAATATCCTATCTCCAACACCTTCAACCCAGACAGTCCCTTCAGAAATAGAGTTTATAATATGGCACATAAATCTACATCTAATGTTGTAAGATGACAAAAGAAATGCTGAACCACAGCAATCTGGAGATACATTTACGACGGGTATCCCACATATGAGATACCCGGAAAAATAAACATGTACGACGACGCTGGATCGGAACGCGCTCCGAATTCGTCGCGGGCCGCGGCCAGCGCGCGGGCAGATTCCGGGTCAGCCCCGCGCGCCGATTTTGTAGAAACCCGGAAACTATTATTTTCGGCTTCAAAATATACCGGCGTTGATTTAGAGCGTACAAAGAATATGAAAACCCAGGAGCGCCAAAATATGACTTTAAAGGAACTCAGAAGTTACTACTGTCTTGAACTTTCCATTCTTACCATTTCACACACACACACACACACACACACACACACACACACACACACACACACACACACACACACACACACACACACACACACACACACACACACACACACACACACACACAACACACACACACACACACACACACACACACACACACACACACACACACACACACACACACACACACACACACCACATTTATATATATATATAGAGAGAGAGAGACAGACATACCAATTTTCAAAATTATGTAAAATATGCTTAATACAGTTAAGGGAGCCGTCACGCTGAATTTTCGACGAATATTTTCACAAGGTCTATATAAGTACTTGCATTTTCAAAAATACTCGAAAATTAAAGAAAAAAAATAATATAGTAGGCTTTGGCAACGTGTAATATATCTGCTAAATACGTAAAAATAAAGGACTTATGACTTAATATCTGATCCTTCTGATCGCTGCTATATAAGAGTTCATGCAAATATCCTCGATTTTTTTCTTTTTTCGCAATAAAAGTACTCCAAATGCGATTTCTTTTGGTATTCACTTGTAAAGGCTAGCTGGTACCTCTACATACTGTGTTTATGGGAACCCACATGGAGTTAACACGGGCAGTTACCACCAGGGCGAGTGCTTGTTGCTTGCCTTTCTGCTTGAATTTTTTTTATTTGAAGCGCCTTTCACGTCAGTCTTACAAGAATGGGAAAGCCTTCAAAGAAGAAGGTGATTTATAGGGAAAAGTATAAGATGCAGCAGTCTCTCCAAAAATCTCGTGAGAGACGACAAGAGAGCTCAGCATTAGGGGTCACTGAAGGAGGAGAGGAGGCTGGCTCGCCTCTTGCGACTCCTGCCTCCTAAACATCATATGGACCTGCCCCTTATGCCCCTTCATCGCAAACTAAGAGGACATATCTAATGAAAGATGTTATGCCTGTAAGTGATCAAACTTATGATGAAAAATACATTTTCTCACAATCACAGCTGCAACAGTTGTTTAGTTGTGTGAAATGCCCCATGAGGCACTGTAAAGGCACTGTAAAACCTGTGATGACAAGGCTGCACTGTGACAACCATGTGAAGTTAATTTGTGACAGGTGCAATAAAACCCTCTGTGATGCTCCTCCTGTGGTCCATGAAAAAATGACAGAATCAAACATTATTCAGGTTTATCACAGTCTCATTACAGGAGTGGGACGTGCTGGATTAGAAAACAGTGCCCCATATTTCTCGGGTGGAAATCTTTCTGCAGGTACTTACGCAAAGCATTGCTCTTATCTGTACAGAGAGATGGGAAAATGGTTTGACATAGTAATGGAGAAAGGGAGAGAGAAAGTGAGGCAGTTTTATCTTGACGAAGATCTTTCACAGCTAGATGCCTATGGTAACATCAACATTGACGTTTCTTTCGACGGGTCATGGATGACCAGATGCCACAGGTCAAACATCGGCGTTTGGCTTGTGATAGATGTGTACACCGGGATTGTGATAGACATGGAGGTCCTATGCAATCACTGCCCAAGGTGTAAGGCAGGGAGCAGTAAAACACCCAACAGACATGTCTGCCATAAAAACTTTGACGGTAAGGCTGGTGCAATGGAGGGAGAGGCAGCAGTGCGAATCTGGTTGCGATCCTTAGACTTCAAAATGAAATATATAACCATCATTGGTGATGAGGATTCAAGTGCATACAAAGTAGTATGCCAACTGAACAATGGCAAAGGACCATACAAAGAGCCCATCATCAAGGAGGAATATATAAATCACATAAGCAAATGGATAGGGCCTAGACTGCACAATGTAAAGAAAGATACAAGTCAAACAATCACAACCAAGACTGGCAAGAGGATGAGGAGGAGCTTGTTAGGAGGTGCCAACATGTTGACGGATGAGGTCATTGATCTTCTCGGGTCGTATTACAGGAAGGCGATCCATGACAATGTGGGCACCAACTATGAAACAATGAGAAAGGCTGTGTGGGCGACATTCTTCCACCTGACGTCGAGTGATGACAATCCAGCTCATGACTTCTGCCCACATGGAGCAGACAGCTGGTGCTTCTTCAATAGGGCACTAGCTGAAGATCTCACACCTGCTAGCCACAAAACAAAATCCCTCTACCTTGCTAAGATCCCCTTCGAAAGGTTGGATCTGATCAAATCAGTCTACAGAGATCTCACTGCCCCAGACATTCTACGAAAATGCCTGAAGGGGGTAACTCAAAATCCAAATGAAAGTCTTCATTCGAAGATCTGGATAAAGTGCAAGGTTGCCAGCCGCTTCCGAGTGCTGTTTGTCACAAGGGTGACAGTACTAGATCATAACTTTGGAAGGAAAAGGAATCTTCTTTCTCACTTGCTTGGGACCAGTGCCACCATTTCACAAGCACTTGAGGAGCAAGACTGGGAGACAGATAGAAAAGGGAGAGCAAAAATAAAGAAATGGTAAGAGAATGCTAGTGTGTAGCTCTGACTACCAGCCAGTAGCAATAAAAGAAAGGGAAAGAGAAAGCTAGTGTGGAGCTCTGACTACTAGCCAGCAGCTTTCTAGGGAGCAAACCTGGCCACAGTGAGGGAGGTGGTGTCTCCTGATACCCTCGGCTTTGAACGATTAGTACCTAGCAAAAGGGGGGACCAGGTACCAGCTACATTTCAGAATACCATCTGAATGCCATAAAATGCATCAAAATTGACACAGAGATCAGAATTCTAAAAGAAAAAAAAAAAAAATCCCACTAAACTACAAATAAATTTCAAAATCTGCCCGTACAAGATAAGTGCGAAATCTAAAATTTTATGAGTTTTCAAGATTTTTTTTTTAATAACTTCATTGTTTATTATCCAAATGATATGAAACTTGGTGGTGTAAATCTTAGTATATGCATATATAACATTTAAAAATCAACAAAAAACGGTCATAATTAACAAACTTCATTCTGAAGTGCCCCCTTAAAGCTAAATTTAGACTTCTAGTACATGCTGTTGAGACGACTTACAGTTCCCTTAGCGATCACCAGCTGCCACTCGTACATAGGATAGGTCTGTGTATGTTTTAAAACAGAAGTGTAGATGAATAAAACATCAGAATGTTTTTCTAGGCACAAAATAAACTGAAAAATTTAGTAACCATCCCCTCTCTTATGTCTTGATAATAATATCACTTTAAGGCTATGAGGTATACAGAAAGAAGTACAAC